TTAGGCCCGAAATTTATAGGACCGTTTCCTATAGTAAAAATAATCAACCCCGTTACAGTACAACTGCAATTGCCATGACTCTTGGGGAAGATTCACCCCGTTTTTCACAGTAGCCGTCTGAAACCTGTAGTGGGGTCTACTTTAAGGCCGATGCCATGTGAACCCCCTGGGCCCCTGGTTGTTGGGGGCCAAACTCACTACGAAGTGCAGCAAATTCTTGACTCAAGATGGCACAGGGGGCGCCTCTAGTACTTAATTAAATGGAAGGGCTACCCGTTGTCAGAGGCTTCCTGGGTGAAGAGCTTAAATATCCAAGCTGACCGCCTTATAGCAAAATTCCATGCAGACCACCCGGGCAAGCCGGGAGGGGGGATTCGCAGCCAAGGAGGGGATAATGATACTTATCTTGTTGTGTTTTTTTTCCTATGGGGCAGGTTACGTCGGAGAAGTGAAGGGAAAGGGGCCGGATGTCAGCGTTCCAAATTATGATCTCCTCCAGCGTTACATGAATGAGAGAGGGAGAAGCTTTGCTTTAATGCTGAGATGGAACTTTTACCTAGTTTCCTGCTCTTTAGTAGATAGCGTTACCTGGGTGATAGAGGGAGGGGGGAATTCCTGTGAAAAGAAAGTGCTTGGGACGAAGAGATGGATCTGCACGATGGCCAATGAGACATTGGGGTTGAAGAACGGAAAGGGAGGGGTTTGGAAGGAGGTGCCAGTTTTGGCTGCACAAAGAGTTCAGGGATGTCGTTCTTTCTATTCTTAAATTTAAAAAAAGATTCATTAGAGAACTTGCGTTTGAGAATGAAGTTTATTTAAGATAGCAGCGAAACCTGACACCGTCCTGATGGCAGCTTGGAAGCTGACATCAGGTGGGTCTTGAGAGTGTTATCTGGGAGGGGTTTGATCTTGTGATTCCCAAGGACGTGGACAGGATTCTGGGTAGGCTTAGCGCTGCCACATGTTTATTGGACCCGTGTCCCTCCTGGTTGGTGCTGGCCTCTCAGGCGGTCACACGAGGCTGGCTCCAGGGGATTATTAACGCTTCTTTGAGTGAGGGTTTCTTCCCTCCCTCCCTGAAGGAGGCGGTGGTGAGGCCCCTCCTCAAGAAGCCTTCCCTGGACCCGACTGTATTAGCAAACTATCGTCCAGTCTCCAACCTTCGCTTCGTTGCGAAGGTTGTTGAGAGTATGGTGGCGCGACAACTTCCCCAGTACCTGGATGAAGCTGTCTATCTCGATCCGTTCCAGTCGGGCTTCAGGCCGGGGTACAGCATGGAAACGGCATTGGTCGCATTGGTTGATGATCTCTGGAGGGCTTGGGACAGGGGTTGTTCTTCTGTCGTGGTCCTGTTAGACCTCTCAGGGGCTTTTGATACCATCGACATGGTATCATGCTGCGTCGATTGGAGGGGTTGGGAGTGGGGGGCACCATGTTGTGGTGGTTCTCCTCCTTCCTCTCTGACCGTACGCAGTTTGTGTTGGCAGGGGGACAGAGGTCGACCTCGAAGCACCTTGTTTGTGGGGTGCTGCAAGGGTCGGTCCTCTCGTCCCTTCTGTTCAACATTTATGTGAAGCCGCTGGGTGAGATCATCCGTGGTTTTGGGGTGAAGTTTCATCTGTATGCTGATGATACTCAGCTGTACATCTCCACCCCGGACCACCCCAATGATGCCCTTGATGTGATGTCCCGGTGCCTGGAGGCCATGCGGATCTGGATGGGGAGAAACAGGCTCAGACTCAACCCTTCCAAGACCGAGTGGCTGTGGTTTCCGGCCTCCCAGTATAGCCAGTTGGCTCCATCGCTGACTATTGGGGGCGAGATCTTGGCCCCCTCAGAGAGGGCTCGCAACTTGGGTGTTCTCCTGGATGCGCTGCTGTCTTTAGAAGATCGTATGACGGCTGTGGCCAGGGGAGCTTTTTATCAGGTTCGCCTGATTTACCAGGCATCCCTTTCTGGACTGGGATGCCTTACGCACAGTCACTCATGCCCTTGTCACGTCCCGTCTGGACTACTGTAACACTCTCTACATGGGGCTCCCCTTGAAGAGCACTCGGAGGCTCCAACTGGTCCAGAATGCGGCCGCGCGGGTGATTATGGGGGCGACTCGTCGCACCCACGTAACACCTCTCCTGCATGAGCTGCACTGGCTCCCAGTGGTCTTACGGGTGCGATTCAAGGTGTTGGTTACCACCTTTAAAGCACTCCATGGCTTAGGACCTGGGTATATACAAGATCGCCTTCTGCCACCGATAGCCTCCCACCGGCTAATACGCTCCCACAGAGAGGGGCTCCTCAGGGTGCCGTCGGCCAAACAATGCCTACTGGCGACACCCAGGGGAAGATCCTTCTCTGTGGGGGCACCTGCCTCTGGAATGAACTGCCCCCGGAGTTTCACATGATCCCCGACTTACGTACCTTTCGCCGTGCCCTTAAGACTCTTTTGTTCCAACAGGCCGGGCTGGCTTAGAAAAATGAATTTTAATTGGGTGTTTGTAGTTTTTAATATAAGGGCCAAATTTTTAATGTATTTTAAACTGTTTTTAAGTTTTGTGGGTATATGTTGTTTTAATATGGCTGTACACTGCCCTGAGTCCTTCAGGAGAAGGGCGGTATAAAAATTTAAATAATAATAATAATAATAATAATAATAATAACAACAACAACAACAACAACAACAACAACAACAACAACAACTTGGAAGGAGTAAAATGACAGGTTGAGGACTATAAAGAACTATAAATATTGTTCATCCTGAGGAATAATTTTGGGACTGAGTAAATTGTTTTAATATTGGCTTTTGATGTTATAGACAACCGAGAATTTGAGACCTTGGTAGCTTACTGAGTAACCTTTTGACTCATCAAAATAAGACAAAATGCTTCAACAGGGAAAATAAGTGAATTTCAAAAAGAAATATTATTGATGTTTCAAAGTATTCATGAAACTATAGCAAAGAACCACAGGGAGATAAAGGACTTGATACATGATATAGTTGTCAGACCAGAAAATGTTCATCAAATGACAATGAAAAATGAACAGGAAACCCAGGAAATAGAGGAGAAAATAGAAAAAACAGAGGAAAAGATAGAGCAGATAAAATAACAAATTAATCCAAAAGATAAGAGAAGAAAGAGATAATTAAAACAGATGAAATAGAACAGGCAGATTATACATTAAGAAATTAAAAAATAGAACTGGATAAACAGAAAGACATTCCTGAACTGAGGCTAGAGACACTGAAATGTGTAGTGAAGGTTTGGCAGTGAGAGGTAAATGTAGAGAAAGAGGAAACATTTAGATCAAAGAAGAATGATGTATAGAGATACAAAATCCTAAGGGAGGAGTATAGAAAACATGCCAAAAAATAAACAAGAATTGAAATACTAAAATGGGCAAGAGATGATAGATAGAAATAGAATACCTATTGATACCATGTGATAGAACTAGAGTAGTGGGAGAGGATGTGGAAAACGAACATGAAACTAACAATTGCGACGGCATACAAGGAAAACCAGATGAAAATGTTTTATAGATGGCACCTCCCACAGGCCAGAATTGCGAAAATGTTCCCTACCAACTCCCTGAAATGTTGGAAGTGCAAGACTGGCTACGGAACATACTATCATCAATGGTGGACCTGCACGATGGCACAAAAATTCTGGAAGAAAATCAAAACTTGGATAGTAGAAATAATTCAGAATCCAATAGAGGGAAAACCGGAACAATTTCTGTTAGGAATCTCAATGGACAATTATACTAAAGAAATACAGTACCTTATATTGCATATATTGACTGCAGCACGTATTGTATATGCACAATATTGGAAGAAGGAAACACTACCAATGGAAGAGGATTTAATTAAAAAAATTCTAGAATGTGCAGAATTAGATAAATTAACTAAAGAAATTAAGGGGAAAGAAGAATCAAAGTATTATAAGGTTTGGAGTAGATGGTATGAATGGTTGAAACATAAGGAAATAAGTTAAATGAATGAAGAAAGGAGGGGGAAAATGTGTATGATCTTTTGTTAGTAAAGAAGAAATGATATAAAGTAGAAAATGAACGTCAAATAAGTTTATACTTAAATATTTGTAAATATTGATGTATAGAAAGAGCAGACCGCTGTGTATAGCTGAAAAGAAAAGTGATATTTTTCTTTTTTGTCTTATTTTTTGTTGTATGTACATGTTTGATTTTTAATGTGTTTTTAATGTGTTTAAAATAAAAAACTTCTTAAAAAATAGAAATAGAATATCTACAAATATAAGATTTGTTCTATTAAGAAACAGAATGGAGGTAGAAACTAGATAGGGGAAAATATTATTATGCATATTTCTATATAATATTTTAAAATTAGTATGCAGATGAAAGGATCAGAAGTTGAAAGATGGTTGTATTATGTACACTTAAACAACAATATTATGGTTATTAGCATTGTGTATTAAAATACTTTAATAATCAAATGATGAAGGATTATATACATGGTGGAGCAAATACTAAAATGTTAACAACTTTAATTGTAATATTTATAATGTTATTATAATGATGTGTGTATGATTAATGTAATTAAGTTTATCAAGATTATCACTATTATCTGGTTTCAAAATTAATGATACCCAGATGCCACACTGTTCATGTATTCAATAACTATATATATATACACATATAGTTGGTCTTTGGTTATTTGGGTCATATAGATATATATAAAAATAAAAAATTACATACCAAAAGAATTAATTTTCTATGCTTGAAATTAGAAGTAAAGCCAAATTAATGCTTAAGTCACATGCTGCTAATTAAAAATTGGAATAATGTTTGCTGGCTCAGCTTATTACTCAACCAACCTTTAGTTAATTGAATTATTCTGAATTGTGTCACAGTGCAAAATGTTGCATTAATTTATGAAATTTTGAAAAACCAACCTTCTAAAATGATATGGGATAAATATGTATAAATGTATTTTTCAGTGATGAAATGCATGAAGAAATTCTACTTACCTTGAACATACACTTTTGCTGAATGTTTATCCTTTCCTCTGTAATTTTCAGCTTCACATTCATATATTCCTTCATCTTCAAACTGAATATTGAAGATCTTTAGAACTGCACCAGACAAGCTTATATCTGCACTGCTTGGCATTGGTTCAAGATATTTACTCCATCTGAGTTCAGGAACAGGGCTTAAAGAAAATAGGACACATTTTAATTCAGCTTTGATTAGCTGTTGGATCTTTCATTTATTAAGTAACTTCAGCATCAACTTTCCTCTTCATGTTTCACAATTACAAAAGAGTGTTTCTTAAGCAGAAATTTCACTTAGCTGTTGTTTAACTGCCCACTGACATGACCCTTCCCCTTCTCAATCTGCTTCCTTCACTTGTCTAAAACAGAATGAATATTTCTGCATTACCTCTACATACCTCTAATGCCAATAATATATTAAAACAATCTTTTTTTGTCAAGTAAACAGGTTATACAACATTGTTTTAATGATATCCTTCTACAAGGACCTGAATCATAAAATAAATTGAATTCATAATAACTGGAAAATAAACTGGAGAATGTTTGGCTAGTTTCATTAAGGGCAATTTCATTGTCACCTTCAATGCTTTTTTGTAGCTGTAATGCTAAGCCATACCACATTTGGAGCCATATGCATAAAGGAGAAACATGTTAAATTTATATATAAAGTTTACTTGTGTTTACAGATTAACAGAATTGGAAGGGACCTTGTAGGTCATCTAATCCAACCCCCCACCCAAGCAGGAGACCCTACACCATTTCTGACAAATGGCAGTCCAATCTCTTCTTCAAAGCTTCCAGTAATGAAGCTCCCACAACTTCTGAAGGCAATCTGTTCCATTGGTTGATTGTTCTCACTGTCAGAATGTTCATCCTCATTTCTAGATTGAATCTCTCCTTGATCAATTTCCATCCATTATTCCTTGTCTAGCCCTCAGGTGCTTTAGAAAACAGATTGTCCCCTTCCTCTTTGTGGCAGCTCCTCAAGTACTGGAAGACTGCTATCATGTCTCCTTGGTCCTTTTCTTCACTAGACTAGCCATGCCCAGTTCCTGTAACCGTTCTTCGTATGTTTTACTCTCCAGTCCTCTAATCATCATGGTTGCTCTCCTCTGCACTTTTTCTAAAGTCTCAACATCTTTTTATAGTATGGTGACCAAAACTGGATGCAGTATTCTAGGTGTGGTCTTACTAGGGCTTTATAGAGTGGTATTAGTACCTCACTTGATCTTGATTGTATCCCTCTGTTAATGCAATTTAGGATTGCATTGGCTTTTTTGGCTGCCGCTGCACACTGCTGGCTCATACTTAGCTGGTTTTCCACTAAGACTCCAAGATCACCCTCACAGTTACTGCTATTAAGCCTGGTTTCACCTAGTCGATATATGTACTTTTGGTTTTTCTTGCCTAGGTGTAGGACTTTACCTTTCTCTACATTGAATTTCATTTTTTTAGATAGGGACCAGTGTTCAGGTCTGTGAAGATCCATCTAGATCTTGAGCCTATCTTCCAGGGTGTTAGCTATTCCTGCCAGTTTAGTATCATCTGCAAATTTGGTAAATTCTATTCCTGAATCTAAATCCTTTATGAAGATATTGAAGAGTACTGGGCCTAAGATGGAACCTTGTGGTACAAGTCTGTTTACTTTCCTCCATGTAGACGTAGACCTATTAAGGACTACTCATTGAGTACGGTTTGTCATCTAGTTACAAATCCATCTGATGGTGATGCTATCTATCCAACTTTTTTCTAGCTTACTAAGAAGTAGGTTGTGGTCTACTTTATTGAATGCTTGCTGAAGTCTAAATATATCCACAGTACTTCACTGGTCTACTAATTTAGTCACTGTGTTGAAGAATGAAATAAGATTGGTTTGGCATGATCTGTTTTTAACAAACCTGTGCTGACTGGTAGTTATTACTTTACTCATTTCTAGATGTTTATTATCTTTTCCAGTATCTTCCTTGATATTGATGTTAGGCTGATTGGTCTGTAGTTTCCTGGATCTGTTTTTTTCCCATTTTTTGAAGATGGGAACTACATCAGCTCTTTTCCAGTCCCCTAATAGTTCCCCAGTGCTCCAGGATTTTTGAAATATGTGGTACAGTGGTTCTGAGATGAGATCTGCCAGCTCCTTTAGAACTCTGGGATGTAATCCGTCAGGTCCCATTGATTTGTATTTATCAAGATCAGACAGGTGTTCTCTTACTAATTTTTTGTTTATTTTAACTTTTATTTCTAATCTGTTTTTTACAGTTATGTTTTTGGTAGGTTGGGCTAAAGTTTCTTTTTGTGTGAAGACCTTGACATGACCCTATCAACTTAATGAACTACCTCCAAAATTTAGCAGTGACACACAGTGCAACTCCACCTCCCTTTTTATGGGATCTGGATTTTTTGAACAGTTTGTATCCTTCTATCAGTACGTTCCAGTCATGGGGTTCATCCCATCAAGTTTCTGTTATTCCAACTATATTATATCCACCTTCTTGTATTAGTAGTTCACCCTGTTTGTTTCCTAGTAGGGTGTTAGTAGCTAACACCCTAGAACAGCGGTTCTCAACCTGGGGGTCGCGACCCCTTTGGGGGTCGAATGGCCATTTCACAGGGGTCGCCAAAGCCCTCTCTCACCCCCCCCACGCCTTCACTCACCGTCACTCTCTGCTCTGTTGGATCGCCGGCCGTTCGCTTACCCCGCCCACTCCCAATCTATTGCTGCCTCCTGAGTCCCAGCTGATGGCTAGAGGAAAAAAAACTGTTTAAATTCTTGCCGTGGGGCTTCAAAGGCTGCCCTAGAGCCAGTGGTGGGATTCTACGTTTGTTAAATTGCTGGCTTGCCCCGCCCCTCCGCACCACTATTTATTGCCAATAAATAGTGGTGGGCGAGGGGTGGGCGAGCCAGCAATTTAACAAATGATTCAGTGTTTTTTTGTAATTTTATTGGCCCGCGGAGCTTCAGCATAGGCTAATTAGCCCTTGATTAGATCGGCTCCCGACTCTCAGTTGATTTGCTCTCAGCTGTTTTGCTCAGGGCTCTGCTGCTTGCTGGAGATTTTTTCCCCCCTAGCTATGCTGAAAAACAAAACTGAAAGTAAAGCAGGCTGTTGGCTTTGCTGTTGCTGCAACGTTGGAAAATTAGGCAGGCAGATTTCTTTTCTTTTTCCTCACCAAAAAAGGTAGGTGCAAACAATGGGAAATTTAGGGAAAAAGAGGAGAGTTCAAGATTTTAAAACACAAAAGAAAAAAAGCTCTATTTAACTAGGGAATTGTAATAATTGAGATACTATTAATTGTATATTGTGTTGAAAGCAGAAATGGTTAAATTGTGGTTTGGAGGAATATATGGGGGAAATTATTTGGTTTTTTATTATTGATAAATATAATTAATTGATTTGTAAGAAATTGGATGGCATGGAAATAATTGGAATATTCATGTTCATATTGATTAATATACAAAAAAGGTAGTTATATAACTAATTGATTTATATTAAAATGTTTAATTTATATTAAACAACTGTAATATCACATAATTAACCAATGTGAGGATGGATATAAAAATAGATGACAATGGGAAGGGGTATAATATAGAATAGAAGGGAAAAATTGAATTTGATTAAGATTAGAGATGAGGATGAAGGGTAATATTGGTTTTTTACAAAAATAGATGAGGAATAAATATGGCAAAAAGGAAATATAGAAATTGTAAATTTAATTGAAATGACTAAACACTGTTTAATTTTATGAACCGGCCAAATACTCTGTTCAAAGAAAATACATTGTATGTTTGTATGTGTGTTTCTAATTATTGTTATTTATTCATATTTGTTCTCTTTTATTCTTTAAAGTTTAACAATTCATTCTTTATCTTAATATCTTTATATTTGTTTGGGGTTGGCTTTCTTCCCTTTCACCTTTTTTATTGTACAGCAATCTTTCTCCTCAAACCTACCACCTCTCTCTTTCCTTTCCTTCTTATTTTCTCTTCCTCCCCCTCTTCTTCTCCTCCCTACTTCCTCTTCCTTTCTCCTTCTCCTCTCTTCCTCCCTCTCTTACCCTCCCTCCTACTCTAATTTCCCTTCCCTTCCTTCATCCCTCTCTATTGCTGTATCCTTTTATGCATATGGACTACTCAGAGGGCTGAAAAAGTTATTTCTGACTGGTCCTCGCACTTTTGACCAGTCCTCGAACTTACGACTGTCCTCACATTTTACGTTTTTGCCCTATCTTGTCACCATGGTGAAGAGAAGCAGTTGTGAAATGAGTGACACGGTTGTTAAGAATGCTACAGATAGCGACAGACCTAACAAAATGGGAGAATTTGCAGTTATCATTGATAGGGAGAATATCAACTATTAAAATGAATATACTGCCCAGACTTCTATACTTGTTTCAGACAATTCCAAGTTGGGGAAAAAATATTTTGAAGATTTAAATAAAATGGTGTTAAAATATATATGGCAGGGCAAAAAGGCAAGGATAAAATTAAAATTGATGCAAGATGTTAGATTAAGAGGAGGTTTTGGTTTGCCGGATTGGGAATTGTATTATCAAGCTTGTAACTTGATGTGGATTAAAGAATGGATAACACTAAGGAATATTAGATTGTTGACCTTAAAAGGACATGACTTATTGTTGGGTTGGCATGCTTTTATGTGGTATAAAAGTACAAAAATACAGGGTTATTTTAGAAGACATATGATACGAGAGTCTTTGTTATTAAACTGGGAGAAGATCAAACAATGTTACTACTTAAAAATTCCAGTCTGGCTATCACTTATTGAAGCAGTCTCACACGCAGTAACGTTTAGGAAGGAACAAATTGTTAGATATGGTGAATTATTAAATGAAAAGGGTGAACTTAAATCGAAGCAAGAATTAGAAGAACAAGAGCTTGAAATGGATTGGTTTTCATATATGCAAATACAGTCTAGATATGATGAAGATTCTAAAAAGGAGGGTTTTTATAGCACCTTGATAAACTTAGATAAAATTTTAATAGGTTCTGATGACCATGTGATTAAAAAATTGTATAGCCATTTATTAGAAGTAAAACTGGCAGAAGAACAAGTTAAAGAAACAATGATTGCATGGGGGAAAAATGTGGGTCATGGGATTGACTTAGAGAAATGGGAAAAATTATGGTCACAGAATTATAAAATGACAATATCAACAGCATATAAGGAAAACTTGTATAAGATGTTTTACAGGTGGCATCTACCCCCGGCGAGAATAGCCAGAATGTACAAGAACAAATCGGAGAAATGTTGGAAGTGTCATCAGTCCCCGGGCTCATATTACCATATGTGGTGGACATGTGCAAAAGCTAAAAGATATTGGACTAAAATCCACAGGTGGTTGGAAAAAATGACAAAGAAACATATTGACTTTAAACCAGAGATATTTTTATTGAGGATTTTACCAGAAATATATAATAGAGAAATGAGATATTTAATTGTGAATGTTTTAACGGCAGTTAGAATTGTATTTGCTAGAAACTGGAAAGGTGAGAAGATACCCACGGATGACGACGTTATCAAGAAAATTTTGGAGTGTGCTGAAATGAGTAAATTGACATTTGAAATTAGGGAACAAGAAGATAAACAATGTTATTTGATATGGGATTTATTTTATCAATGGTTAGACAAGAAAGAATGGAAATGAAATATGAAATGAAATGGATAAGATAATAAAATATATAAAGGGTTTTTTTTCCCCCCTTATAGAGGATAATTTACTGTTAAATAATTGGTAAAGGAGAATAATAATGTAATAAACTGTTAAATAAGAAAATGTGGGTTAGAGGATTAAGCACAAAAGATTCGTAACCGATCAATACACTTTCTGTAATTGTAATGGATGACAATTGTTTTATGTTTTAAGTTTTGTTTAAAAATAAAAAAAAATTTCAAAAAAAAAAAAGAATGCTACAATGGGCATAAATGATGACCAGTCATAAGTGCGAAGATCGGTCAAAAGTGCGAGGACCTGTCAGAAATCACTTTTTTCAGCCCTCTGGGTAGTTCTTTTGTGCACATGGACTACTCAGAGGGCTGAAAAAGTTATTTTTGACTGGTCCTCGCACTTTTGACCAGATCTCGAATTTATGACTATCCTCACATTTTACGTTTTTTGCCCTATCTTATCACCATGGTGAAAAGAAGCAGCTGTGAAATGAGTGACATGGTTGTTAAGAATGCTGCACGGGCATAAATGTGAGGATGGGCATAAGTGTGAGGACCAGTCAAAAGTGCGAGGATCTGTCAGAAATGACTTTTTTCAGCCCTCTGAGTAGTCCCTATACACATAGCCATGGCCACCTGGTCACATGACCAGCTAGACACGCCCACCCAGTCACATGACCGCCAAACCACGCCCACAAAATCCATGCCCACAGAACCGGTAGTAAAAAAAATTAGAACCCACCCCTGGTTGGGGGTCACCACAACATGAGGAACTGCATTAAAGGGCCGCGACATTAGGAAGGTTGAGAACCACTGCCCTAGAAGATAGACTCAAGATCTAGATGGATCTTGAAGACTTGAACACTGGTCCCTATCTAACAAAATGAAATTCAATGTAGAGAAAAGCAAAGTCCTACACTTAGGCAAGAAAAACCAAAAGTACATATATAGACTGGGTGAAACTAGGCTTAATAGCAGTAACTGTGACAGGGATCTTGGGGTCCTAGTGGACAACCAGCTAAGTATGAGCCAGAAGTGTGCAGCGGCAGGCAAAAAAGCCAATGCAATCCTAAATTGCATTAACAGAGGGATACAATCAAGATCAAGGGAGATACTAATAGCACTCTATAAAGCCTTAGTAAGATCACACCTAGAGTACTGTATCCAGTTTTGGTCACCACACTATAAAAAAGATGCTGAGACTCTAGAAAGAGTGCAGAGAAGAGCAACCAGGATGTTTAGGGGACTGGAGACTAAAACATATGAAGAACAGTTACAGGAACTGGGCATGGCTAGTCTAGTAAAGAGAAGGACCGGGGAGACATGATAGCAGTGTTCCAATATTTGAGGAGCTGCCACAGAGAGGAGGGGGTCAAGCTATTTTCCAAAGCACCTGAGGGCCAGACAAGGAATAATGGATGGAAACTGACCAAGGAGAGATTCAACCTAGAAATAAGGAGGAACTTTCTGACAGTGAGAACAATCAACCAATGGTAACTTGCCTTCGGAAGTTGTGGGAGCTTCATCACTTGAGACTTTCAAGAAAAGATTGGATTGCCATTTGTCAGAAATGATGTAGGGTCTCTTGCTTGGGTGGGATTTGGGGGTTGGGGGGTTGGGCCAGATGACCTACAAGGTCCCTTCCAACTCTGTTAATCTGTCTATCTGTCTATCTGTTCCCCAGACTTTGTGCATTTGTATATAGTGCAAAGAATGAGTGATAGGAGTGCAAAGTATGAGTGATAGGAGGCACTGAGAACACTTTCAAATTCATGTTTTGGGATTGCTTCTGATCGCAGAAGAAAGCTACCCATCCCTGGCCAAAATAGATCACATTTTGCCATGTATATCACTAAATTCAAGCATACGTACTTTCCAAGCGCAAAGCATTCTAGTGTCACATTTTGTCCTAAAAGTGCATATGTATCTTTGAACTTCACTCTGATATCTGGCACATAGCCTTTTGACCCTAATAAGAAAAAACAATAAAATAAATAGTTTTCTAAAAAATGGATACTTAGCACATATAATATTTGAAAAGTTTATTTCCTTAAAAAAAACTTAGAGAGACTGTGAGTAGAGATGAATTTCTAAAATAAAACAGTTGTAGGAAGCAGGAAGAAAGGATCACACACATTTATTCTACTATCAATTAAGAATAGATTTAACTTGTCATGAAATATCACTACGTCACCTAGGCCATAAAAATCTGGACAACACTGGAGGCTAAGTGATTACAGAAATTCTAACTGCTTTTTTGATAACTTGTATAAATTCACATAAAGTAAAAGTTGAAATATTTAACCAGAACAGAATATGAAAATCTTTAAAATAGATCAAATCCCAATATTTCATTTACATAATCTATTTCTTACCAGTTAACCAAAAATTGTTTTGAGAAAGTTAATATTGTTTCCTGTCACATGTCACATCTCAAAAATGTAAATATACTCATATTTGATTTTCCAAACATGGGAAAAGCAATGTCTGTTTTGTATCCTTTTATATTTCTATTTTTTATAGCTTACACATTTTATATCATACATTTTTGAGACACACATTATTCAGTCAAGCAAGTGAGTTAAATTTGAAAGTAAGCCATAGTCAAACTTGGCTCCCTGATTATTTATAACTGTTGTGTTCTCTCTCTGTTTCTCTTTCTTTGTATGTGTCTCTCTCACACACACAGAAAAAGAGGCTGAATGAGTGAGTATATTTTGGATAATAAAAACAAAACAGTTGGATTCATGAGATAAGATGTAAAATCTAAAATTTAGAAATAAAAAACAAGCTGAAAAGAGAATCTAAGCCAAACATTTCTTTCATATACTGTTTCACTGAACTGGATAAAGTGAACAAAAGGAAAGGAGACATTATTTAAGAAGAACATCTGACATACATAAGACTTTTGAGGAATACTTACGATCTGCTTGAGGAATGAGTGAAATGAAACTGCTGAATACACTCTTAGTAATTGAATTACTAGTCACACAGCATGAATAGTTGCCTTTATCAGTAGGTTCAACTTTGGCTATGTAAAGATTACCATTTGTTTGTGACACATATCGCCGTTTATCCAAAGTAATGAATTCTGGGAAATCATTCAGAAACCAGCGATAACTTAGATCATCTGGAGATAGAAAAATGTATTTAAAATTTATTAATAGAGATGAAGCTATTGTTTAGAGGATATGGTAACATCTAGCTAATTTTGTTGGAAGCTAAACAAGATAAGCACTGGTTAGTCTTGGATCAGGGATTACCAGTAATATCAGTGCTCTTGGCTATACAGATAGTACTCAATTTACAACTGTAATGGAGCCGGCCCACAAATTGTGATGGTCATAAAGCAGACCACTAACACAACCAACCAAATTTTACTACCATTATTACATTATGCAAATACTGTGGTTGTTAAGTGAAGTCATTGTTTGCAGTGGGCCATTTTTGCAAAAAAACCAAAAAACGAAACAAAACCCAGAAGTAAATGCCAGTTATCAGCATCAATGTTGTAAAAAGCAGTTACATGACCATGGAACATTGCAAAAAGCTATAAATGCGGACTGGTTACTGAATGCCCAAAATGAGATCACATGACTGCAAGGGGGGCAGCTGTTAGAACTTTGGAACAACTTTTCTTCATTTACTTATCACTCCATGCTATATATGACAGTAAGTGGGCATTGAAGTCCACATTTCTTAAATTGTCAAGTTTAACATGTGTGACCTCTATTTATGCATACTGTAGGCTTAGGCTAGAGAAGAGTACAGGTAGTCCTCGAGTTACGAATTTAATGGAGCCTGCCCATTCCATTCGTAACCCAAGGATTTGTGGGAATGAATCTCATACCTTGAATGTGATCACTTCCTCCTTTTGCCCACATATTTGATAATTGAATGTGCAGCTCGTTAAGTGCACATGAGATATCTCAGGGTGGGAAAGGCCATGGGGGGGCCTAGTGATAGAACAGGCCACCTACTCCAAGGCCTCCCCTAACCCACAGATACCTCATTCTCCTTCCCCCTGGGTCCCCACAATTGCTTTCCCCTATTCTGCCATGCTGGGTGTCTTACTTTATGAAGATTTGTCTCCTCTCCAGTCTGTTTCTTTGCCTTCTTCATCACCAAAGGGCTTGACAAGGTCTCCAGTGATGAAAAAGGAGGCCAGGCCTCCTTCCTGGACTCTTTTTTCATCACCAGAGGCCTTGTTAAGTGGATTGCTGGCGAGAAAGGAGGCCCAAAAGACTATGCACGTTCCTCTGTGCCTCCTTTCTCATCACCAAAGCACTTGAGGATTGCGTCCCTTTAGGCTTCACCAGTCCTTTTCAAAAAGGCTTTGCCTATAGGAACAAAGCTTCAGAGGGACACACCCACTCCTCCCAAGCTCTGCTGATGCCACCAAAAGCTTTTTGCAAAGAGCTGCCAAAGCCTACAGGAATGCAATCTCCCTGCAGGCTTCGGCAAGGAAATGGCAAACAGAGGGAAAGCCTGAAGGAAAGCCTTCCATCCATTTGCAATCTCCAGGCCTCAATTCACAGAGAATAGAGGCCTAAAGTCCAAGATCACACGAGATCAGTAGCACAAGATCTCGCACTACTGATCTTGCAGCATGTTAGGCCTCTGTTCTCTGCTTAATGCACTGAAAGCCTGAAGTAATAAAGCAGTCAAAGAAAGCACGACAGAGAGGAGATCTTGAAGACCCAGCTGGGAGGGGGGGAAATAGGCGGAATAAATGTTGCAGAGCCTCTGTGGTCGTTCGTAAGAATGAACAACTGCCATGGTGCTGCAATATTCATAATTTCAGGACTTGTTCATAAACACTAGGGGGCACTAATCATGCAATTTCAAACATTTGCTAAGGGAACCCTCATAACCCGGGGATTACCTCTACAGAATACATTAAATATATACCTGAAAAAGCTGGTTTCCATTTGTAAAATACATACAGTATTTCTCTGAAAGTTTTCAGCTGTTTTCAACTTTGAACAATCAAATCTTATAATAGTAAACAGATTCAATTACTTTATAATCTGAAGGAAGACAATCATACTGTAAGGAATTTTATTTTCACATGTCAAACAGGAACAATTCTTTTTTTTATAAGGCTCTAGAGGCTTAGGTAACTTAGTTACAGTCAACATTAATACTATTCTAATTGTATTAATTTTTATGTCATTGTTCCAATTGAAACTGAAATATATAAATTTAATTACCTGGATAATGAGGTGGAGGATCACAGAGAAGAACAGCACCTACACCTTCTCGTACTTTTACTGCATGTCTCTCTTCCGGAGGAAAAGGATATAAATCTATGCATGATAATAGATAGATAGATAGATAGATAGATAGATAGATAGATAGATATAGAGATATAGATATAGATGTAAAATAAAAAGATATTATTAAATAGCAATGTTAAGAAGAATGTCTCTCATATTAACTGTTATCCAATTTATCTACAAAAAATAACATCTCCCAATATCTATGTGTATCATAATAGAAGTTGATGCCTTTATACTCTCAGGAGTGTTTGTAACCTCATGTTTATTTTTTTGAGGTCAAACTGGAGAATTCTTGCTAATAATGGAAACAAACATTTCACAAACATAGAGATTACTGTCTCAGTGATATGTAGGGCTATAAAAACATTCAAGATATCTATTCAGGAAATTGTTTTACAAGGATCAGCGCTTATGTTACTGAGCAAATAAAAAGCCAATTTCAAGATACAATATTGGAACATGGATAAAATTGCAAGGCTGACAATTCAATAGTCTAGTCTTGGTTTGTGTATGGGTTGAAAAGCAAATCATCCATAACATTATAATCTTAAATTTAAGATTCAATAAAAGGTGGGCAGAAAATAAGATTAATTTAAGATTCCAAAAGAATTTTATTGGCTTATCTGGAAAGGAACAGTTCATGAAAGCCGAGAAATTAAAAGATGGATGAAGATAGTCTGTGAGATTGTACTAAACACCAAACTATTTTAACATATATCCATCAATTATTTCATACTTTACTCTATTTAGCCATCATTGCTAGACTTTAAAGTTTGCTAAGGTATTGTTTAGAAGAAATTTGGGTTTACTTGACATTTGCAAGTTAATCAGGGCTACAGACTAAAAGCCACTACAGCAAGCCACTCACACATGCTTCTCAGAGAATTGACTACCCATGCAGTCATGAGGAATCAAGCCTTCTTTGAAAGTGTCTTCCATTTTATTAATTGATAAGAATGACATCAGTCTTTGAAAGTTCTTGTCTTTTTATCTCTATTCACTGAACTAAACAAACAAACAGAAAAAATGTTATAAAAGAAAAAATTGCAACTATATTTCTTGGCTTTTTCTTCGGTTTCCAGGAATGAGATTAAAGTGGGATTGCTTTTGCAAAAAAACATAGGTTGCAAAAACCTGAAGTGGGTCATATATTTTATTTTTATTTTTTTATTTTTATTTGATTTATATGCCGCCCTTCTCCGGAGACTCAGGGCGGCTTACAGTGCGTTAAGCAATAGCCTTCATACTTTTGTATATTTTATACAAAGTCAGCTTATTGCCCCCACAAACTGGGTCCTCATTTTACCTACCTTAGAAAGGATGGAAGGCTGAGTCAACCTTGAGCCTGGCAAGATTCGATCTTACTTTAATTGCAGACAGCTGGTGTTAAATTACAGTGCTTCTGTCTGTTGAGCTAAACCAGGCTCCTGTATGCATTAATGTATACAGAATTAAATTTGAAATATTTTAATTCATTTTAATTATATGAAAGTGATTTAACTTAAGTAACTATGATTTTAATATTAATAGTAGCCCTAAGGATTACACATATATTTGCAATCATTCACCATAAACAAAACGTTGCATTTATGCTATAGGGAAAATGATAACCTTTCAATATAAATATTTTCTATTCAATTCTTTTTTTTTAAGAAGTGCATGAAGGGCTACAGTGCATGAACACTGTTAATGTCTTCAAAATGAGTAATAATATGTAGTCAAAACAAGAAAAGTTTTAAATTACGGGCCAAATTTATTTAATTATTTTAAATCTATTTTTAACTTTTGTGTATAAATGTTTTTTATCTTGGCTGTTCACCACCCTGAGTCCGAAAGGAGAAGGGCGGTATAGAAATTTGAAAAATAAATAAATAAATAAATAAATAAGAAAGAAAAGGAAATAGCCTATCAATTCAGTGATTGCTGAACAAGCAAATAATCATTTTTCATAAATGAATTTCTATTATGCTACTTAATATTACAAAACTACAGAACTATTGCAGGCAGGGAACTGCAATGGGTCTATGGAGAAAAAAACAGTCATAATAGTATATTTAAATTAGGTTCACCTCTTTTACCCATGTAACAGGGAGATTTGTGTGAATAAACATATCTATACATTAGCTCATTAATTTATGTTTGATAGGGCTTGGCATGCCATTGCAATACTATAAGTATCTTACCAAGTAAAAAATTCTGTTGTAAGTTTACAATGGTATTTTTCTGTTATTGGTTTATCTGAGGTCCATAGGCATGTAGAAAAGGATAATTATTTTAGTAAAATGTTTATTAGGGTAATAATAGCTCCCCTTATTTTGTTTGTTCTTGTTATTTCTAAATCTCATTTATGTTGAATTTAGCTCTTTTAAATGCAAACTGGCTATGAATGATTATCACTAAATGTTGTATCTAATGTTTTATGATGAATGTATTTTTACAATGACTAATGATCGAATACTATTGTTGTATGTATACTGAGAGCTTATGCACCGGAGACAAATTCCATATGCCTAATCACATTTGGCCAATAAAGAATTCTAATTCTAATTTTAATTCACAGCTTGGTAGCACTGAAACAGAAATTAAGGCCTCAGTTACACAGCACTGATAATATGCTTTCCTCTTCTCCTTGGGCTGTAGGAAAGTATGTCACTAAAAAAAGTCATACACACACACACACACACTTTTTTTGCTTTGTCTCAGTAACAAGACCAGCAATATTGCTGCCTTCACTCAATAAGGCAAAGAAATAGTTGGTAGCTGGGAGACTGCTTTTAAAAAAGCCACTTTCCACAAATGCTGGGAATTACATAATTCAATAGTGCTGCAATAAATAAAGAATTTACACACCTGTTATTTCAGTAGGAGGAATGCTATATAGAAACATATAAAAATACTGGAAAAAATAATCAAAAAACAGATCTGCCAGCATCTAGAAATGAATAAAGTAATAACTAGAAGCCAGCACAGGTTTGTTAAAAACAGATCATGCCAAACCAATCTTATTTCATTCTTCAACGTAGTGACTAAATTAGTAGACCAGCGAAATGCTATGGGCATAGTATATTTAGACTTCAACAAAGTAGACATAGATAGCATCACCATCAGATGGATTTCTAACTGGCTGACAAACCGTACTCAACGAGTAGTCCTGAATGGTACTACATCTACACAGAGGGAAGAAAGCAGTGGGTACTACAAGGTTCTGTCTTAGGTCCAGTACTTTTCAATATCTTCATAAAGGACTTAAATGAGGGAATAGAAGGGGAATTTACTAAATTTGCAGATGATACTAAGCTGACAGGAATAGCCAAGGAATAGCCACCCTAGATGATAGCCTCAAGATCCAGATGGATCTTGACAGACCTGAACACTGGACCCTAACTAACAAAATGAAATTCAATGTAGAGAAAAGTAAAGTCTTACACTTAGGCAAGAAAAATCAAAAGTACATATATAGACTGGGTGAACCCAGGCTTAAAGCAGTAACTATGAGAGGGATCTTGAAGTCTTAGTGGACAACCAATAAAATATGAGCTAACAGTGTGAGGTGGCAGCCAAAAAAGCCAATGCAATCCTAAATTGCATTAACAGAGGGATACAATCAAGATCAAGTGAGGTACTAATACCACTCTATAAGGCCTTACTAAGACCACACCTAGAGTACTGCATCCAGTTTTGGTCACCACACTATAAAAAAGATGTTGAAACTCTAGAAAGAGTGCAAAGAAGAGCAAACGAGATGATTAGGGGACTAAAACATATGAAGAACTGTTACAGGAACTGGGCATGGCTAGGCTAGTGAAGAGAAGGACCAGGGGAGACATGATAGCAGTGTTCCAATATTAAGGCCTGCCACAGAGAGGAAGGGGTCAAGTTATTTTCCAAAGCACCTGAAGGCCAGACAAGAAATAATGGGTGGAAACTGAACAGGGAGAGATTCAACCTGGAAATAAGGAGAAAATTTCTGACAGTGAGAGCAATCAACCAATGGAACAGCTTGCCTTCGGAAGTTGTGGGAGCTTCATCACTGGAAGCTTTCAAGAAGAGACTGGACTGGCATCTGTCAGAAATGGTGTAGGGTCTCCTGCTTGGGTGGGGGGTTGGACTAGATGACCTATAAGGTCCCTTCCAACTCTGTTAATCTGTAATCAGACCCATTATTCTTCACAGTTAACAAATTCACAGCTTCAAATCCAGACAGACAAAGTTGAATTCTAACATCAGGAGAACTAACATGACTTCATGAGAGATCTACTTTTGTGGATGGAAACAAAACCATCCCTTGAGGCTAAAATATCTAAAGTTGATATCATACCTCCTTATCAATAAATTTGTAAGAAAGCAAGGATATATCATGAAGACATGTTTTCCACCAATGATTGGCAGGGTAACTTTGCACTAGAAAGTTTTGAGAATGATCCTAAAGCAATACTTTTTGGGAAGTTTTTCAGTTTTAGTAAAAAACTGAAATAAGATGTTTTTTATTAAAGTCATGTTGCAAAAATATCATTATTTTGGTATCTACTATTTTATAGAAGCACAAGGTTTGTTTTAATAAACTGCTATGTAATCAACCAGCACTGATAAAATTCATCATTACATATAAGCAGATAGGTTTATATAGAAGATATAATAAATGTCCACAAATTTTTTTTCATCTAGAAAAAAATGATCCATTCATATTCACTCACTTTTGTCACTCTAATCACAGTAAAAAAATTTTTTAAAAAAAATAGTAATTATGGTTAGAAAAAGTGTCTCTTTCATAGTGTTTCAATCAGCATGGGTCATGACAATAAGTCAAACTAAATTAAGTCAGTAGACTTAGAATAACTTTACTTTGAATGTACACTAATTGGCATACATTAAAATGAAATTTTGTTGCATACAGCTCTCAAAGTGTCACCACCTCCATTACATACTACATAAACATGACAAAATAAACAAATAAATACAAAAGTATGCATATACCCATATATTATTTGACACGGAGAAATAACACAGTCTAACATACCAATCTACTGAACACCATTTCAAAGAGTTTGTATAAAGGAAAGGTTCATGTAAAGACAACTTACAACCAAAGTTTAAAGTTGCTTCCCGGCTCCTTATAGTTCCATGTATATTGTATGCTATACAAACATATGTTCCTTCATCCCTTGACTTCTCAGGATTATTGATTTCCAGGTTACCTCCTACCATACTATAATGTTCTTTTGTCAGCTTAATATCAACATCCCAGTTGTTACGTTGCCACCTATTCAAGGAAAATATTTATTTTAAAAAAATATTAACACTTTATTTCAGCACTTCAGTGCTGAAGTGCACATTGCCTCCAAAACATAGTATCTTATCCCTACAGAATGAGATTATGGCAATAAGAGTATCTGTTTCATTGAATAATGCATAGTTTTAATTGGAAATTCAGTTTGAATTTGACTGTGTTTCTGTATCAGTCTGAATTTACTCCAGGGGTGAAATGCTCCCGGTTTGGACCGGATCGCCCGATCCGGTAGCAATGGAGGCGGGTGGTTTAGAGAACCGGTAGCAAAAATCCCTGCCCCCCCCGCCCAGCTGAGCCACACAATCATCAGAGGCTTTTTCTTTTAATTTTTAAAAGCATTTTTTCTACAACCTCTTTGGCCGAAAAAATGCTTTTAAATTAAAAAAAAAAAAGCCTCTGATAATCGCGTGGCTCAGCTGGGATCGTCAGCTGATGATCCCAGCTGAGTTGCTTGATCGGCAGAGGTTTTTTTTCTTTTAAATGCCTCTGATGAAGCAAGCTGAGTTGCCTGATTGGCAGAGGCTTTTAAAAGAAAAAAAAGCCTCTGCCAATCAGACAACTCAGCTGGGATCATCAGAGCCTTTTGAAAGCATTTTTTTACAACCACTTCGCCAAACAGGTTGTAGAAAAAATGGTTTTAAAAGAAAAAAAAATTGGCCACACCTACCCAGTTACATTACCCCCACCACCAAGCCACGCCCACAGAACTGGTAGTAACAAATTTTAGATTTCACCACTGATTTACTCCAATTTGATAATTTAGAAGATCTGTGCATGCAGGAAAAATATTTTTTCCCTGAATCAAACTGGATTTCCAAATAATGTAATTTTATTACTTAAAGCATCAAACTGATTTTCCAGATTGAGTTAGATATTTGACCTGAATTGATCTGAATTGACAATACAAATCTGATCTTATTGCATACAGTAGTATTGCTAGGTGTAAATTACAGATTCCCTGAAATATATTATCCATTGTGCTAGTTACAGAATGACAGCGATTCCTAAATAATATGGTTATAGAATTGAAAATAATTATTTGAATGTTTTTCACAGATACGATTTGTTACTACTAGTTCTGTGGGCATGGCTTGGTGGGGTAATATGACAGAGTGGGCATGGCCAACTTTTTTTTTTACTTTTAAAACCATTTTTTCTACAACCTCTTCAGCTGAAGAGGTTGTAAAAAAATGCTTTTAAAGCCTCTGACGATCCCAGCTGACTTGCCTGATCAGCAGAAGCTTCTTCTTTTTTTTAAGTCTCTGACGATCCCAGCTGACTTGCCTGATCGGCAGAGGCTTTTTTTCCTTTTAAAAACATTTTTTCTATAACCTCTTCGGCCGAAGAGGTTGTAGAAAAAGTGCTTTTAAAAGCCTCTGATGATCCCAGCTGAGCTGCGCGATCATCAGAGGCTTTTTTTTTTTACTTTTAAAAGCATTTTTTTGGCCAAAGAGGTTGTAGAAAAAATGCTTTTAAAAATTAAAAAAAAGCCTCTGATGATTGCACGGCTCATCTGGGCAATTGGGGGGGGAGCAGGGATTTTTGCTACTGGTTCTCCGAACCACCCACCTCCATTGCTACCGGATTGGGCGATCCGGTCCGAACCGGGAGCATTTCACCTCTGATTTGTCCCCAAGTTAATTGTTTTATTAATTATAAGAGCAAAATAATGCATTGTAGAATACAGATTATAGCAGACTATGGTGATATTTTATAATAAAAAATTAGAAATCGTTAACACTATGATGTTTTGGGTAAGTTAAATCTTTTTTTCCCAATAATTTTTATTAAACAGTTTTTTAAAAACAAAAAAACCCAAAAACAGATATTTACATTTTCTTTTTTTCAACATCTCCGCATCAGTAATCCATATTTATACATTTTCTCTTTCTTATCTTAATATATCTTTTATACATATATTTCTAGTATAGTTTTAATCTGTCTGGGCCAAAATGATTTAATTTGATTTTATTTGGTTTTTAAATTTTTTGTATCTATGTATTTTATTGTTTGGCTGTTCACCGCCCTGAGTCCTTCGGGAGTAGGGTGGTATATAAATCAAATAAACTAAACTAACTAAACTAAACTATATCATATATACCGTTATAATATATTTTCTTAATCTAAATATTTTATTTCCATTTAATATAAACAGGTACCTAGTTTCCTTTCCACAATTTTTATAGCTTCCCATTTGTTTCCATATTCCTCCACCTAATTTAACCATTGTTTAGTTTTATTTTGTCACCCCCCTTTTTCCCCCCTTTCTCCTCCAACCATTTATACCATTTCTCCCAGAGTAAGTAATATTCTATTTCATCTTTTTCTTGTATCTCCTTTGTGAGCTTATCCATTTCCGCACACTCCATAATTTTTCTAATCACCTTGTCTTCTGATGGTATGTCATTGTTTTTCCAGTTTTGGTGTCAGGTATGCTTCCTTCAGTATCCAGGAAAGAAAACCCCAAACTCAAGCATTTTGAAGAATTTAGTACTTTTACTGAATATGAAATGATAGCAACCCAGGTAAAGCTGGAAGTGAGCAAAACGCGCGAAATAGCATCTACTAAGCTTCTCCCCCCCCCCGTGTCCATTGACCCTCAGCCAATCCAAAGGTCTCCCAAAGGTCAGGTGGCATCATGCCTGGCAACGTCATTCATCAGGAATGTAGGGCAGTTGGTCAGCCAGCCCCTTTTGAAGATTCACTTTCGATTCCTGGGAAGACACGTCCTACAATAGATAAACACCTCCTGCGCCTTCCCCCCCCTTTCGCCCCCCCTTTACTAATCCCTCCCCCGTTTCTTATGGCAGCTGAAGCAGGCAAAGCTGAGGCTGACATTCGGCCCCTCTTGCAGAAGAGACATTATTCCTAAATAAGAGGAAAGAAGAGAGAGAGAAACAGAATATATACAATAATTATGGTTTATCAGGGTATTTGGTATAGAATTGCTGTATCTTCTTGGGAGCTCGGACATCCCGTTTATTCACCCATTCAGCCTGCGATAAAGGGAAATGTTTCCAGGCTATCAGATATTGGACTTTGCCATGGTGTTTCCTAGAGTCCAAAATTTCTTTAACTTCAAAATGTTGCTCCCCCTCTATGAGAATGGGAATTGGAGGGGTGCTTTGGTCAGCCCTTAGGGGAGACGAGTGTTCAGGTTTTAATAAACTAACATGAAATACAGGATGTATACGTCTCAATGTTTTTGGCAATTCCAATTCAACTGTTACTGGATTAATTAATCTAATCACACGAAATGGTCCCACATACTTAGGGCCTAGCTTTTTGGACTTCTGGGTGGTCTGTAAATATTTTGTAGACAAATAGACTTTATCACCCACTTTATAAATGTGAGCTGGGGACCTTTTCTTATCAGCTTGCGCCTTATGGGCCCGGTGTGCCTCATCCAAAGCCTTCCGAGTCACTGCCCATGTGCTCTTTAATTGTTCAATCCAATCCATCAAGGAGGGATTTTGGGGATCATCCTGTGGTAACTCGGGAATGGGTACGAAATCCTGGCCCGACGCGACCTTAAAAGGAGTGAATCCAGTGCTACTGTGTACGGAATTATTATATGCCACTTCTGCAAATGGCAACAAGTCTACCCAATTGTCTTGCTGGTAATTTACGTAACATCTCAGGTACTGTTCTAGTACCCCATTGGTTCTTTCACAGGCCCCATTTGTCTGAGGGTGGTGACTGGAACTTAGCCCCTGGGCGGAGCCAATCAATTTCAAAAATTCTTTCCAGAAATTGGAAGTAAATTGCACCCCCCTGTCAGAAATTATTCTTTTCGGAGATCCATGTAGTCGGTAAATCTGCCGAATAAACAGTTTTGCAAGGGTTTTTGCTGAAGGGATCTTTGAGCAAGGGATGAAATGTACTTGTTTGGAAAACAAATCAGTTACTACCCAAATGACAGTGCAGCCCTCACTGTCTGGTAAGTCGACAATAAAATCCATAGATATTTCCTTCCATGGGGCGTTCGGTCTAGCCACACTTTGCAGCAATCCAGGGGATTTTCCTGGAGGTCTTTTAGCCGAGGCACATATTGGACAGCTAGCTACATATGCCTCTATGTCCTTTTTAAGTGCGGGCCACCAAAATTGTCTCTTAACAAGGTGTAGAGTCTTGACAAACGCAAAGTGTCCTGCGGCCTTGGCATCATGAACATATTTCAATACGGTTGTCCTTAATGTGGCTGGAACATACAATTTCGATCCAACCCAAGCTAGTCCGTCACGAAGTGTGCATTCATTGGAGTGGTTGCCAAACCACTCATCAGTTTTTAGTGCTTCTCGCAATTTTTCGAGTAATCCCCCGAGAGTTCTGGTTCGGTTTTACTCTGCGCTCTGGTAGTGACTGGTGTTGCCAATTGTGTCAAGGGGATCATTAGTTGAACCACTTCCTTTTTGATGCTATTGTACTGCGGCAATCTGGAAAGTGCGTCTGCCATGAAGTTTTTTCCACCAGGAAGGTAACGTAGAGTGAAATTGAAACGCTTGAAATGTTGGGCCCAACGAGCCTGTTTTGGAGATAGTTTGCGTGGTGTTTTTAATGCTTCTAAATTTTTATGATCAGTCCACACCTCGAAAGGGTGTTTCGCCCCTTCTAAAAATTGTCTCCATGTTAACAACGCCCATCTAACTGCAAACGCCTCTTTCTCCCATATGGCCCATCTCCTTTCCGTCTCTGATAGTTTACGGGATGTGTAAGCACAGGGTTGTAATATCCCGTTTTCATTCTTTTGCAAGAGTATTGCTCCTACAGCTACGTCACTGGCGTCAGTTTGTACTACAAAAGGTTGTTCCATGTCGGGGTGTTTGAGCACAGGTTCAGCCGCAAACAGCCGTTTCAATTTTTCGAAAGCGGCTTGACAGTCCATAGTCCATTCCAGTGGTTTCGAGGGTTTGGGCTTTACTTCCCTTTTGGTTTTTAGCAAGTCTGTAATTGGTAGTGCGATTTTCGCGAAA